AGTATGGACATCTGAAGATACTTAAAATTACTTCAGAATAAAAGTCTGTAGTTGTTCCAAGTTAAGATCCAGTTACCACAAGAGTAAGTACATTGTTTTGATCCCACCCTGCCTGTTTGAAAATTCTTTGAGTTCCAGATTGTGACAGGTGCGCTAACTGTTCCTGTGTGTGGTCCAGGTGATGCTCGGAGTTCGGTGAACGAGGCCAGCAGTTTGCTGGGGGGCTCCCCGAGGCATCAGTGCGGAGGCCGTAAAGGCTCCCCCTACCACACGGGTCAGCTCCACCCTGCCGTCCGAGTGGCCGACCTCCTCCAGCACATCAACCAGATGAAGACCGCCGAGGGCTACGGCTTTAAACAGGAATACGAGGTGAAAGGGCACTGTTCCAGCCTGTTCTTCCACTCTGACATTATAAACAACACGGACAGCTTTATAATCTGTCAGTGGCTCAGGAGGTAGAGCAAGTCGCCCACTCTCCACAAGGTTAAAGTTTAATGCCTGACGTCTCCAGCCTGCATGTTAAAATATCCTTGAGACAAAAACTCAACCTTAGATAGTCTCTGAAGTGCGCATTCGTGTGTGTGTGTGTGTGTGTGTGGGAAAGGAAAAACTGCTGCGTACCGTGTAAAAACTTGTGCCGTGACGGTATAAAATGAGCTGCAAACACGTACTGCTGTGGGTGCACTTCTCAGGAGAGGTAAATTACAACACAGTTTTGGAAAACTGGATTATTACAAAGAAAGGTAGTCTATAAAATGTTTGTCACAGCATAATTTGTTTTGTTAAATAAGCAACCTCCAGGGTCAGTTCAGCTGTAAATAAAACAAAACTGTAGACGTRGAAAGGAGGAGTTCAGTCTGCATCGATTAACGAGGGAAAGTGTGAATCRAAACCAAATTCATTTTGTTTTAATGTGACTCAAAAAAAATTCATTAAGTTTATTTTCCATTTCTTTATTTACTTTTTTCTTAATCTGTTAAGATTTAAAAGACTCAAATGAAGCACCCCACATTTCATTTAAAGATGAAGGTGTTAATGTTTTTCATTATTTCTGATGAAAGTTGTGATTATACCACACAAAAGCCTTAGGTTTGCAATTTAGCTGCTGTCATTWAGGGCACATAGCTGAAGCTGATGTGTAGCTGGCTGATTATAGTTGCTGCTTTGATCAGTGAGTGAGAATATCCTGACGTCCAAGAAAAACTGGTTGCCATTTTTAGAGATTCTCCTAAACGCTCATTGCTGTCTTTAACTGCTGACGTTGCTAAACCAAAGTTGTACATTGTTTTTTACACAAACTTAGTTTCAACATATCTGCCCTAATTTGGAAAAAAAATCGTACAGTTGAGTAATTTCACTAGGTCTTACAGGTGTAAAGCACTTTCTCTTTTACAAATGTTAAAGTAGACTTATCATGCTTTAAAATCCTTCTGTGTCACATTTAAATCATTGTCGGGCTCTATATAAAGTGGAACTGCAATGCTTTGGTCTGAATTACTTCTTATTGTAACTCCACAAGCCCCTCTTTCACCTCTTTTCTGAGGTGTGTCTGAGRGCAACTCRTTTCGATGCTGTCTCTTTRAATCCAAACAAGACGCTTCACACCTCACCCATCTAGCTTCCAGACCGGTCTATTCTAGTTTTGATAGCAGAGATAAAGCCGACTATATAGCRGCACAGAAAATTTTTATTTACATTAAGTAAAAGATGTCAACGAGAAGACTTGCCCATCCAGCCGTATATGATGGAGCCAGAGTCTGACCCAGACAGAGAGGAGAATGAATATGACGAAATTGAAGTTGGTWAGCCCAAACATTACTTGGCTGTTCYGTCGSAAATAATTTGATGTAATACCATAGTTCAGAAAACGACATAGAGAATACAGATAATTGAACTGGTTGAAAAATATGACCCGAAACAGAGTATAAAGAAATCTATGCAGCTATGATATTCTATGTTCAGTTATTTACAACTTGTAACCTTTCCAGAGAACCCGACTTCAAACTGCCTGAACTATCCCTTTAGCTGCTTGAACGGATCAAGTCATTTCCTTTTCTTCAGAGGCCTGAACTCCTAGTTCAGTTATTCTGATGTTTTTTTATGTAATCTTAATGTTCCAGACTGATGTGAATAACAGATGACGTCTGTCATAGCACTGGCCACACATACACTCAGCCACGCAGATATAAAGCAGCTTTACTGGGTTAAAGTCGCACCAAAAAAAAAAAAGAGAAGTTTCTCTGAAGGGTTTTCTGGCAGCTCCCCGATAGCAGAAAAGTATCATCTCTTAGACACGTTCCAATTCTATCCTGGAGACTTTCCTAACAGAAATGTTTGACCTTAATTGGCRACATCGTTAGTGCTAAAAGGTAATGGAAGGGTCTGAGCTTGTTTACTTGTTAAAGGAAGGTGAAASTATTGAGAGGTGGAAAAAAAACCAAGGCCAAATGTTAATGCATGGTGAGCAATGCTTCTGTTCTAAACACACAGCACAGTATTTAACTCTATTGGAAGAGCTTAAATTTTGATAGTATTAGTTAAAGAGGTTTGTCACATCCAAATTGTTTACAGGCATACGTGTTTGTTTTTATTAAAACAGTTATTCCCAAAAAAGTGAAACACTGCTCGCTAAAAGAAACCATAATAACCATATTTGGCCCTGCATAGGTCTGTTTTTTTTTGTCACTTCAGTAGAAAACGAAACTAAATATTATTAGTTTATTTATTTCTTCAAATTAGAAATATTGAAATAGAGATTAGAAGCATATTAAATATACACCAAGACAACACAGGACCACACACCCAACATCTGTCCGCTCACCTGAAAAATAAATGGATAAAAACATGGATGGCATATATAAATATATACACATACCCATACATATATAAAGATATACATACATACATGCCTACATTCATAAATATTGT